ACAGGTATAAAAAGTGGGTAAATTAGAGGTATATCACACATGCAATATGATAACAATAAACAAGATCTAACAAACAAGCATCATAAAAAGAACCACACAAGCAAAGCAATCAATCAAACAACCACAAATCAAAGCAATCAATCAAACAATCAAACAATCAAAGAAATCAATCAATCACGCAATCTAGCATTCCCTAGCAAGCAATCAAACATCACCACAACTCACAATCAAACTATCAATCAATCAAGCAATCTAGCATTCCCTAGCAAGCAATCAAACATCACCACAACTCACAATCAAACTATCAATCAAGCAATCAAGCAATCTAGCATTCCCTACAAGCAATCAAACATCACCACAACTCACAGTGCTTTCGGCTGAACGGTTTCTAGCCTAGGTTTACTACTCCGGGTTTACCGCTGAACCGCCGGCTTGCCCTAAGCTTCTGCCCTGAACGCTCCCTCTCTTCTTCTTCTTCTTCTTCTCTTTCTTCTTCTTCTCCTCCTCCTCCTCTTTCTTCTTCTTCTGGGCGTCCTCCCTCTCACTCTCTATTTCTCTCTCTACTTTCTCTCTCTTTCTTTCTGATTTTGGTGTGGTTTGGAAATGAGGCCAAGGTCCTATTTATAGGCTTGGAGGGAAGCTGGTGGTGGATCTCCTTGCTTCAGATGGCGACACCTCTCCTTTATGCAACCAATGGCGTGAAGACATTCCTCCAGCAGCTTGGACCAATCCATATCCTTCCATGACAATGGCACCTTCCATTGGTCCATTTTCAAGCTGCTGGGTAGCTGCCTGATTGGTCCATTCAAGATGATCATCACTTCCTTGATCCTATCTTCCTGGAATGAGTGGCTCATCCCATTGGCTCCTTCCTCAAGCTGCTGGGTGCTTAGACATGATTCGTCCAACACATTTTCGTCCATTATGAGCAGCTGAGTGCTCACACTTGATTGGTCCAGCACAATTTCGTCCTATGTAGCTGATGGTGTCGCCTCCTTACTGGTTTAGACTATTCTTATCATCTCCAAGTAGCTGGTGTTGTCATCCCATTGCTCCATCCGCCTCTTTCCTTTCGAGGAGGGTTTTGTACGTTTCCTCTTCCGGAGGGTTTCGTCCCCGTCGTGCTTGAGAATTAAAATTTCCTATTTTAATCCTTTCGTCAGTTCCATGCTTTTGAGCTTTCACTTAGCTGCTCGGAAATGTCCGGAAATTCCTTATCCCGGCCATACCGTTCTTGAAACAGCTTTATCTTCTCTTCGTCTTCAGAGTTGATCATCCCATCCGGACCATTGGGTTGGGATTGTGCGGCGAAAATTCAGCTTTGATGCGGGATATTACAAAGAGGGTCTCTTTTGTATGGTGGTTTAGTAACAGGGATCTCTCAAGAAAGTGGCTTTGCTTTGGCAGAAGGCTAAGTGTTAGAACCAAAGATGATGCAAGAACAGCAGCTCGAGCCGCCTAATCCTAACTCGATCGAGTTCAACACTTAGAGCTTTTTAGAACAAAATCCTAACTACCCTTTTTGGCATTTCGCCTTTGAAACTGAGGAGCTTTGCTCACTTTTCTTTTAAGAACTTCCTAGGGAGAGGCTTCTTGAGGTAACATCTAGCGGTTTGGGATTTTCTAAACACTTAGGGAACTTTTCTTTCTTTTTGACACTTGAGGCTTTGCCTTCTTTTCATTCTACTTAGAACCCTTTTTACTTCCTTTTTTAACTTCCCAAACCTTTACTAGACCCTTTTTAACACTGCCAACTCCCTGGACTTAACTAAACTCTTTTTCCTTTGGTTTTTCCCAACTTTTACCACTTTTCTGGTTTTTACACCCAACTCGATCGAGCTCGAGTTGGCACCCCCAAACTTAGCCTGAAAACAATCCCAAGAGAACTAGACAACTAGAACTACTGCCCCTGCCGGTTTAAACACAACACCTTATGCTAAGCAAAGCCAAGAAAGGTTCTCACAATCGCACAAGAGATAATATGGGGTTTGAAATGAAAAGGCTTAGGTTTAAGGTGTGGTAACTGTCTCAAAGATGGAGATCAGCTATCTGGACAAGCAAGAGGATATGAAAATAGGTAAAGAATGTCCAGATATGTATGTGGTAGCCATGAGTTGAAATCAAATGCAAGCATTGGTAATTAAAGATCAAGTTATGGTTCAAATAGATAGGGAAATGCATCAAATCACAGCAATGGTTGAATGAGATGTGCATGCAGTGATATGATCAAGATAAACATGGTTCTTGCTGCTCAATCAATCTCACCCTAATGCACAAGAGAATCTAAAAACAGGGCACTCAAGAAATCGCAAATGATGAACAAGTTTTCAAAGTCAAATCAACAATGCAAGTGAAAAATGCAATCCTAAACAATACTAACAAATATGAATGCAAAAAGATGAAAATATTTTTGGATTTTTTGAAAATTTTATGATTTTTTTGGTTTTTCTATGCAAAAGAGAATGAAAAACTAAGAACAAAGAAAACAAGGTTAAATCATCTCTTGAACCCTCCCCCAAACTTAAATCACACAGTCCCTTGTGTGAGAGAAATTTAGTGAAAGATTCAAGAGGCAAAACCAAGAAAAAAAAAACAAATGCAAGAAAATATGAAATGGTATTACAAGGGTTGGTGTTTGATACCTCAGTGCCCCCCAAAGAACTGGGAGGCAAGGTCGTGGTCTGGAGAGGGAGACGGCCATCAGGACGCTCCACTCGGCCGGGTTCACGTCGCTCGATCGAGCTTGCTCTTGGCTCGATCGAGTTGTGCCTCGAGTTAGCCTTTCCTTCCTAAAACCTGCTCCTGCAAGACTTAGCCAAGAAAAACAGAGATAAAAGATAAAGAAATATGTACAAGATAGACATGGGAATTCCTCCCAAGTGAGCTTGTTTTAGGTCTCATAGCTTGACCTTACCTTTTAGGCCGGGGTTGGATCTTGAAGAGGAGTGATGATCTCCTCTGTGGGGGTCATTCCTAGATATGGCTTGCATCTATGCCCATTCACTGTGAATTCCTTCCCCTCTTGATTGAGCAGAGTGAGGGACCCGTAGGGTAGAACTTCGTGATCTTGAATGGTCCCGCCCACTTTGACCTCAATTCCCGGGAAACAACCTTAGCTTGGAGTTATACAAGAGCACACTGTCCCCAACCTTGAAGTCTTTAAGGCGAATCAGTTTGTCGTGGGCTGCCTTGGTTCTCATCTTGTAGATCATGGAGTTCTCATAGGCATTCATTCTGATTTCCTCCAACTCAAACAAGTTCATTACCCTCCTTTCTTGTGCTGCCTTTATGTCAAAGTTCAGCATCTTTACTGCCCATAAAGCCTTGTATTCGACCTCCACAGGTAAGTGGCAATCCTTCCCATACAGCAAATTGAAAGGAGACCTTCCAATGGGGGTTTTGTAAGCTGTTCTATAAGCCCAAAGTGCTTCATCAAGTCTTGTTGACCAATCCTTTCCTAGTGAAGCTCACAGTCTTCTCCAATATGGCCTTTATCTGTCTGTTGGAGACCTCAACTTGCCCACTGGTTTGAGGGTGATAGGGTGTAGGCGACCTTGTGCTTGACTCCATAACTCTTCATCAACTTCTCAAACACCTTGTTGATGAAATGGGAACCTCCATCCGAAATAACAACCCTTGGGATGCCATATCTTGGAAAGATGATGGTTCTGAACAGTTTGATAACAACCTTAGCATCACAGGCTGGGCAGGGGATGGCTTCAATCCATTTGGACACATAGTCCACGCAACCAAAATGTAGTTGTGCCCGTTTGAGGAGGGTTTGAAAGGTCCCATGAAGTCTATTCCCCATACATCAAAGATCTCAACCTCTAGAATTGGGTTCAGTGGCATTTCATCCCTCTTGGTGATCCCTCCTTTCCTTTGGCATGGATCACACTTGGCGATGTAACTTGCTGCATCCTTGAACAAGTAGGCCACCATAAACCAGATTGCAGAACCTTAGTTGCGGTTTTGAATGTGGCAAAGTGCCTCCATAAGCAGACCCATGGCAATGCTCAAGAACTCCTTGTACATCTTCTTCAGCTATGCATCTCCTGTAAATGCTATCTGGTCCTCTCTTGTACAAGTAAGGTTCATCCCAATAGTAGTGCCTAGCATCCTTGAAGAACTTCTTCCTCTTGTAAGCATCAAAATTACTAGGGACTTCTCCATACACCATGAAGTTCACTATATCAGCATACCATGGCAAATTCTCATCACGCAGAGCCTTAACTTCTTCCAGCCTGACTTTCTCATCAAAACTCTCTTTCAAGATCATGATTGCCATAAGCTGTTCTTCAGGCATAGAATCATTGATGGGGACTATGTCTTCAACTCGCATCCTAGAGAGATGATCAGTAACTACATTCTCCACTCCCTTTTTGTCCACAACTTTTATGTCACCCTGCACAAGTTAGACAAACATGAGGAGAAGGATGCTCCATAGACTGAGAAATCGTCCATGAAGACTTCTACCATCTCCTCTATCAGATCTGAAAAAATGGAGGTCATGCATCTCTGGAAAGTAGCTGGGGCATTGCACAGCCCAAATGGCATCCTTCGATAAGCAAAGGTACCATAAGGGCATGTGAAAGTGGTTTTCTCCTGATCATTAGGGTGGATCGGGATTTGGAAGAAACCACTGTAACCATCAAGAAAACAATAAAAAGGATGGTTTGCTAATCTTTCTAACATCTGATCAATGAAAGGGAGAGGGAAATGATCCTTTCTAGATGCTGAATTTAACTTCCTATAGTCAATACACATGCGATGCCCCACTATTGTTCTAGTGGGAATCAGCTCCTCTTTGTCATTTTTATGACAGTGATCCCCCCTTTCTTTGGGACGCAATGAACTGGAGATATCCAAGTGCTATCACTGATGGGATAGATTATCCCAGCATCAAGCAACTTGAGTATCTCTTTCTTCACTACTTCCTTTAGATTGGGGTTCAATCTCCTTTGAGGTTCAATGCTAGACTTACTTTCATCCTCTAGATGAATCCTATGGATGCATAGGTCAGGGGAGATTCCCTTGATATCATCTAGAGTGTAACCTATTGCTTTTCTGTACTTCCTCAATTCAACAAGCAAAGCACTCAACTGTTCAGGTTCCAAATCAGAGTTCACAATGACAGGGTAAGTTGAGTTTTCACCCAGAAATGCATACCTGAGGCCCTCAGGCAAAGGTTTGAGGTCGACTTTAGGCGCCTTGAGCTCAGACCAATCTCCTTGAGCTTGCTCCTTGCATTCAGTCCCCAGCTCGATCGAGTTCGTTTGTTCGAGGCTCGATCGAGCTCTTGATCGAGCTCACTGCCATGACTTCGCAAACTGGCCTGTCCAACCCCTCAATGCTCAGAATGTTTGGAACTGGTCTGAAGGTGTCAAGGAGCTTCTACTCCTCGGTTTCTGAGCTCACATATCCTTCTGAAGAATCCTTGGTCAAAGCAACTTGTAGGGATCCTCCAATGATAGCTCTTCTAAAAGCTCATCTGCCAACTGATCCATCTCCTCAACATAAAAGAGTTGACCTTCTATTGTTGGTTTCCTCATTGTATCCTTGATGTCAAACTTCATCTTAGGTCCTTTCCCAAGTTTAGCTCAATTGTGCCTTCACAGACATCTATCATTGCTCTTGCTGTAGCTAGGAATGGCCTTCCTAGTATCAATGGATCTGTTGGTTCCTCATCCATCTCCAGCACAATGAAGTCGGTGGGGATTTCTACATTCCCTATTCTCAAAGGCAGGTCTTCAAGCATTCCAGTTGGTAACCTTATCGATCTATCTGCCAAAACTAGTGAGATTCCGCAGGCTTGATACTTGTGATATCCCAGTCTCTTTGCTACAGACAAAGGCATGAGGCTGACAGATGATCCTAGGTCGCAGAGGCTGTTTTTGAAAGATAGGGGTCCCAACATGCAGGGCAAAGTGAAACTCCCCGGATCTTCCTTTTTGTCGGAGATGACCTTCCGCTGAATGATTGCACTGCACTCACGAGTCAACACTACCATCCCTTGTGCTTCCCTGGTTCTTTGCTGAACAGCATCCTTCAGGAATTTCTGATAAGGTGGAATGAGCATCAAGGCGTCGATGAAAGGCAACTTCAGCTCAAGTTGTCTCATTAGTTCATCAAACTTGGCCTTGTGTGCTTCCAACAGTTGTTTCTTGAACCTTCCTGGAAAGGTGATGTACTTGCATTTTGCATAGTTTTAGTACATCTTTTATGCATCTTTTCACTACAACAAATATCTACATTGTTAGCACGACAAATTTGCCATCATATGGATTAAATAGCGTTTTCACATATGCTATGACATCGGCATCTATGTTAGGTGGTACCCATACGATAGCATTTTTTCAGAAAGCTACGATAGATTCAGGTATCATAGCAAAATTTTAAAGCTACAAATAATCCGATTACAACTCATATTACGTGCTGTGGTAGAGCCCCATACAATAGCAATCTTATTTTTTGCTATGGTGGATCGTTATATAATAGCAATCATATTCCTTGCTATAAAACATGTCGTATACTATAGCTTTTCAGCAATGCTATGCGTAGTTTTGAGATCTGCTATAATACAGTAATTAGTGGCTCTTTTTTTATTGCTATTAAATACAATTTGGTTTTTCTTTTTTATGCTGTTATATGCATTTCGTAATAGCTATCATATGATCTTGTTTTCCATAAATGTATTCCATTTAAAAAAGCAATGCAACAATCTGAATACAATCCAACACACACACATAAGTGTGAATATTCCATTCAAACAAGTACACATAAGTCTAACTGCCAAACACATAACACAAGTCAAACTTTTAGATTAGTCTAGTCTTAAACAAGTTAAAACTAGCCAATCTGGACCAAACTTGCTTCATCCCCCTACAACAAACAGTAATGCATGTCTTTGATCAGTTTACCATATACACTTTCTCAAGAGAAAAGAGACGCATAAACAATAAACACAGACCACATAACATACATGGTGCTGCTCAATCTCAAAAGATGACCAATTTATCCATCGGCCATGCGATTGATGAACCGTGCGCATCTTTCAGAGTTTCTATTTCATCTGATGGCTTCCAAACCGCTGCATCATCGACATTGACTATGTCCACCCAAACTCTTGCTGCATCAGACCCCAATCTAACAAAGTGTACCATTTGATCTAGGTTGATCGAATGCACATGACCTTCAGCAACAACCAGCTTCCTTCCACCAATATCCATCAGCTTGCACTTCTGATTTTCTTTGATAACCTCTGCTCCCTGTTGAAGTTGCCATGTTCTTAGTATCAACCATTTTATACACATAAAATGGTATAGACAAGCAATATTTAAACAACTTTAAAAGGCATTTACCGGATTTGTTTCTGCAGACTTCTGACTAGCTGGTTTTGAAACTCTGGCCGCTGACTTTGAACCAGTTGCATCAGATCTAAATGACTTCTCCACAGAACGTGAATCAGTGCCCACTGATTTACCTCCCAAAGCTTGATCAGTTGAAACAGAGTTGTCAAACGGAAATTTATGCCCTGTTCCACCTCTCCTCTGTTCTCGAAGACAACTTTGCAGGCAGGCCATGCTACAAAAGACAGTAGACAGTCTTCAAGGTATGTTGTTTCTATCGTAGGCCTCCATATAAATGTCTCAGGCTGATGCACTTGATCAATGAACACTTTAACAGCTTTTGGCCCAAGAGGTAAACCATTAACCAATGCTTTTGGTTCTTCTGTCTGCCAGCGTCCTTCAGCAACAACAACATCATCTGAAGACAAATCAAGTAGTTTGCATTTGTTTATTGAGGTCGCTCTTTGGCCCTGTCAAACGCAATGTGCAATTACACAGTCTTATTATACAATTTTACCATCATAAACATAAACTCATTGATCAATAAGATGAATTTTGAGAGTGAGTGAACTTATACCAGTGGTGTAATGTCGACTGCTTCTGTCACTGGTTCTAGATCAACACACTTAGAGGCAGGCCATGCAATCATTTGTCCTACAGCTTCAACCATTGTGAACATGTTACTTGCCGGTCTCCAAAGAAATGCATCTGGAACAGTTGCGGAATCAACTAGTACTTTCACATCCGTGGGGCCTAAACGAGTGTCATTCACCAAGTCATCTGGTTCAGAAGAAATAATTCTTCCCTCAGCAACGTTTTCATTTGTTCCAGCCCAGTCAACCAGAACACACTTGGGTTGTAATCTTTTGTTGACACTCTAAAGAGTACAAGCAGAAATCATATGTCAGATTTTACTCGCTGTATATGAATGAACAAATAATTCAATAGTCTAAGAATCAGGACTTACTTTTGCAGCCGAATTTTCACCAACTTCTGGTTCTTGTCGCTGCAAGGAAGCATTAACTAATTAGTAACTATACCAAAATTGTAATCACTAGACCTACAAATATCTTCTGTTACTAACCTGTTTTTTCAGAATTGCAATTTCATCTTGCAACTCATTCACTTTCTGCAGGAGATGAAACTGTTTCTCTTGCATCTCAGTCATACACTTGTGTTTAACTTCGAAAGCAGCTAATTTCGTCTTAGTCATTGATGATAGGATTTGTGTGTGGATGTGAAAAGATATGAAATGAGATGTGGAATGCAATCAGTGGTATATGATGAGGTGGTAAGATGCAAACACAAACACAGTCAACAATTCCCTTTAACCATGATAGTTGATGTAGTACAAAGGGTTATCAATCCAAAATGGGAAACTTGTCACTCTATGAGAATATGAAACAACCAGGAAGTCAAGCAAGCAGTAATAGATTTGAAGTAACACTAACAACCTAAATAAATGAAATGCAGTGCAATAAAAGTAAACAAAGCAGTGAAGTAGCAGCTCGACCAAGACTCGAGTCGAGTCAGAACAAAGTACCAGCTCGATCGAGTTTAGGGACGAGTTGAGACAAACAAAGCTAAAGGTGACGACTTTAACAAGATAAGAGAGAATTAGGGTTCAAGACAGGGTTTTGCAATCAAAGGAATCTACACTTAATCAATCTAGCTCTTAAAACTCCTTGTATCAAGGCTTCTCTTGATATTGGGCTTCTCAATGCCTAGCCAACCCTTTCCCAAGGTGAAGGCTATCAACCAAGGAATGATCTCAGAAACAGGGGGTTAGCCAGTGAGAATCAAACCTTGGAGGCTATAGGATCATTGCCCAAACTAATCCATCCAACCCCTTAGACCTCTATTTCTAGAGCAAGAGATATTGGAGCTCTTAGTGGATCTTTTCCAGCGAATGCCATCACTTTCGTGTGGGGAGTCGCCTAAGGACTTACAAGCCAGGGGTAGTGGTCATGTAGCCTTAAGATCTATCCAAAAGAGAGAGAATCTAGATTAAGACCATAAGCTAGAAGGATTAAGCATATGAAACCTCTAATCTATCCCATCTCAAACCCAATGGGTAACTACTCACTACACATGAATGTAAACACAAGCAAATGCAATAAAAGAGACATCATAAGAAAGAGGAGATGAAATTAAACAACTTTTATTGAAATAAGCAAGTGCAAATACAAAGAGATTATCCAGGATCTAGGATTCAAGAAGCAAGAGCTTCAAGAACACAAAGATGGGATTAGATTCTAAAAAGTAAAAGACAATAAATTAAAAGAAACTAAAACAAAATAATCTAAAGCTTGGTGGTTTTTTCGTGGCTTAGAGCCTTTAAATACAAAGAGGATTAGGTTTAGGGTCAAAGGAAAGTCAAGGGGGAAGCAACATTTTTCGGGTTTGACTGTTGACTTCTCAGCTCGATCGAGTTGAAGCTTGGCCGGTCGAGTTGAGGAACTCGACCGGTTGGTCGAGTAGACGGTCGAGCTGGTCTTCAAGATGGCTTCTCCCTTCTTCCTTTGCGTATCCAGTTGAGCTGCTCCATGTGCCAAGTCCCTCCATGCTCCTCATGTCCCATATGCTCCAGAATGCTCCAAAAGACCTATTTCAAAGGACCAAACATGCATATGTATGCAAATGCAACCTAAAACTAACATGAATGCATAAGAAGAGAAAAGGAACAAGATATGATGCAAATGGAAGCTAAAACTATGCAAAAGATGCATAAAAGATGTGCTAAAACTATGTAAAATGCAAGTACATCAACACCCCCAAACTTGAACTTTGCTTGCCCTCAAGCAAACAAATAGAACAAGAAAGAGATGAGGTTTGAAAACAGCTGATTCAACACTTAAAAACATGTCCTCAAAAGCGATTTGCTAAATGTCCAACTTAGAGATTCTAGAATGCAACAAGGTGAGAGATATTCATTAAGATTTAACCATGCTTATCAACATCAATCCCACTTCACAGTCACTCAAACAATGCATTCAAATCAGCAAATCCCTTTAACATTCATTAAGCAAAAACAGTGAACCAAAAACATGCAAGATCAATCAACTCATTTGGTTTCAAGGGTTTATGGGTTAAGAGACAAAGAGGGTCTCTTTTGTATGGTGGTTTAGTAACAGGGATCTCTCAAGAAAGTGGCTTTGCTTTGGCAGAAGGCTAAGTGTTAGAACCAAAGATGATGCAAGAACAGCAGCTCGAGCCGTCTAATCCTAACTCCTAACTCGATCGAGTTCAACACTTAGAGCTTTTTAGAACAAAATCCTAACTACCCTTTTTGGCATTTCGCCTTTGAAACTGAGGAGCTTTGCTCACTTTTCTTTTAAGAACTTCCTAGGGAGAGGCTTCTTGAGGTAACATCTAGCGGTTTGGGATTTTCTAAACACTTAGGGAACTTTTCTTTCCTTTTTGGACACTTGAGGCTTTGCCTTCTTTTCATTCTACTTAGAACCCTTTTTACTTCCTTTTTTAACTTCCCAAACCTTTACTAGACCCTTTTTAACACTGCCAACTCCCTGGACTTAACTAAACTCTTTTTCCTTTGGGTTTTTCCCAATTTTTACCACTTTTCTGGTTTTTACACCCAACTCGATCGAGCTCGAGTTGGCACCCCCAAACTTAGCCTGAAAACAATCCCAAGAGAACTAGACAACTAGAACTACTGCCCCTGCCGGTTTAAACACAACACCTTATGCTAAGCAAAGCCAAGAAAGGTTCTCACATTCGCACAAGAGATAATATGGGGTTTGAAATGAAAAGGCTTAGGTTTAAGGTGTGGTAACTGTCTCAAAGATAGAGATCAGCTATCTGGACAAGCAAAAGGGATATGAAAATGTAAAGAATGTCCAGATATGTATGTGGTAGCCATGAGTTGAAATCAAATGCAAGCATTGGTAATTAAAGATCAAGTTATGGTTCAATAGATAGGGAAATGCATCAAATCACAGCAATGGTTGAATGAGATGTGCATGCAGTGATATGATCAAGATAAACATGGTTCTTGCTGCTCAATCAATCTCACCCTAATGCACAAAAGAATCTAAAAACAGGGCACTCAAGAAATCGCAAAAGATGGACAAGTTTTCAAAGTCAAATCAACAATGCAAGTGAAAAATGCAATCCTAAACAAGTCTAACAAATATGAATGCAAAAAGATGAAAATATTTTTGGATTTTTTGAAAATTTTATGATTTTTTTGGTTTTTCTATGCAAAAGATAAATGAAAAACTAAGAACAAAGAAAACAAGGTTAAATCATCTCTTGAACCCTCCCCCAAACTTAAATCACACAGTCCCTTGTGTGAGAAAAATTTAGTGAAAGATTCAAGAGGGCAAAACCAAGAAAAAAAAGAACAAATGCAAGAAAATATGAAATGGTATATACAAGGGTTGGTGTTTGGATACCTCAGTGCCCCCCAAAGAACTGGGAGGCTAGGTCGTGGTCTGGAGATGGTAGACGGCCATCAGGAGCACTCCACTCAACTGTCTGTGTCACTCGATCGAGCTTGCTCTCCTCTTCCTCTTCCTCAAAGTGTGTGTGGCTTCCTTGGCCTTGGTGGAGCATTGCTAGCTCGTACTGTCCATAGGGGTTCCATCTACTCCGGGGAGGCTCCTGGTAAGGCTGGGATCGTATTCAAATCCCGGATCCTCGAACTGGGCTCCTCAGGTCAACTCGACCGTCAGCTCGATCGAGTTGAGTTTCCTCTGTTTGGACTCGATCGAGTCCGGTGGTCGAGCTGGAGCGTCTGGCCTTGGAAGTCTTCCTCCTTCTCTGCGTGTTGTCTTCTCCTTCCCTTGGCTCGAAAGAAGAGGCTCTGTGAGGCTCTTGGGCAGGGAGCCTCCTTGGAGTGGTGAGAAGGATCTACTCCTAAGGAATGTGGACTCATGGGCCTTCTTCTTCTTGCTTGAAGAACCAGAAACCTTCTTCTCCAAACTTTTGATCTTGCTCACCATCTTGTCCATGGACTTTTGCATCTTTCAATGGCTTTCCCTTGCCATTTGTTGAACTTTTGGAGAAGTCCAATCCTCTTGTGGGCAGCCACAACAGAGGGGTTCATCCTTGGAGCCTCATACTCCTCAAAGTAATAGCACTCAGGCTCACCCAAATCCGCACTTCCTGGACCTGATCTTCAGCTCGATCCTCAGCTCGATCCTCAGCTCGACTCAGCTCGATCGAGCTCAGGCTCCTCTTCTCGCAAATCATCCTCATGCCCAACTAATGTGTACACAGGGGGTCTGAAGTCAATGTTCTCACCCCTTACTACTGTGGTGAGCTCTGGGTTAGGCAGGAGAAGCTTGGAGGGTCCAACCAATGGATGTGTGAACTTGAATTGGAACCTCCCATCCAACTCCTTGTGCTCAATGAGAAGGTTGGTCTTGCAAAACTTGATGTCCATCCAACCTGGTTCAGTGGCTCTCTATCAGTTGGGTTCACTCCAGCAGCACACAAGATAGGTGTGATGAGCCCTCCAACACTTAGGCGCCTTCCTTTGATGTCTAGTGTTGTAGGCTGTGATCTTGTAGGTAAGGAGTGGTCAAGGAAAGGCATCAAGTTCCCTGTGTCAGATCTATCTCCCCTGATCCTCTTGCCATCGCTTGTGCGTGAGAGAAGGGCTTGATTCCCATGTCAAGAAACTTGAGTTCCCCCTCGTTGATGGTCCCGGTCGCCTTCCTTGCAAAGAAGGTGTTGGCAAGTGCCTTGTGCACATACCTCAAGACTGGGCTCCTGATCTGAGCTGCCTTGGACCTTGAGGAAGAGTACACTCCATCAGCGATTGTAGCCCAAACCCTTTGGAGTTCCTTTTCCTTGAAGTTCCACTTGGTACCCTCTCCATAGTTGAACCCAAACAAGATTCCAAGCTGCCTAAAGGTCACCATTCTCTTCTCTCCCTTAGCCAAGAACGTGATCCATCCCAATCCTTGGTCCAAATCAGCTCTATCTTCCTCTTCATACATGTGGTACCTCATTGAAGCTAAGAACTCGCAAGTGAGCTCCTTGTAGATTCCATGTGATAAGAGAAGAAGCTTGGCCAAGTGCATGTTCTTGAGAAAGCTCCACATCCTCAAAGATTCCAAGGGCCTTCATGTGTCAACATGTGGGTACTTGGTCTCCATGAAGTCCATGGAGAAGAGGCATTGTAGTGCTCTTGGTACATAGGGAGTTCTTCCTCCTCCTCTTGCGGCTGCTCTTGTGGCTCAACTCCTCCATAGGTTCATCTTGGTTACTCTTGCTCACTTCTCAACCAATTGATTCACCTCTTCTCCTTCCTCTTCACTCTCAGTCTCATCACTTCCTTCTTCACTTGGAGAGCCATTTCCCTCCTCTTGAACAAGGTTCACTCCAATCTCAAACTCCCCTTGCTCACTCTCACTACTAATGGGGTCATTCCTCTTCTTGGTCCTCCTCTCCTCCCTCAATCTCTCACTCTCAGATTCTTCCTCAGAGTACACATATCCCTCTGCATCAGACTCTTCCATCCTCTGATCATCCTCTCCAAATCGGCTTGCATCTTAAGCCTTCTTTCCCTTGCATTGCTTGATTCACCCTCAACCATTCTCCTTTGTGAAGCACGACTTCCCTCACTGTTTGTCATCTCTGTTAACTGTTTCTTCACTAAAGTACCTGAAATGCATCAAAGATTACAAAGAATTAGAGTTGTAATGATCGGTTTGGTCAACTCGACACTCAGCTCGATCGAGTCAAAAAACTCGAGTGACAAACTCGATCGAGCTAGGTGAAAACAGAGTATAACCAAACCTAATTCAAGTATTAAGAGCTGGAAAGGATGCTAATCAATCAAATTGAACCAAGAACAACTAGTAAATGGAACAATGAGCAATTCTAGTGAAACTAAGCATCTTAACCAATACCAAACTCAAATTCAATTTTTCAAGCACATGCAACAAGTTCTAATGAAAACAGAGGTGAGGTGAGGCAAATTCACAGTGGTATAAACAGGAGATTGAAATGAGAGCAATTACTCAAGAATAAACCCACAAGGGGCACATGCAATCAAAAATCAAAGAGGAAACAAGCAATAATAGAAATCGAGATGGAGGAATCAAGGGTTTTAGGGTTCATACCTTGCTTGAATGATGAATTGAAGAACAGTAACAAGAACCCAAACAAAACAAGATGAAGAACAAGGAAATCGCAAAAACTTAAGAGAGAGAGATTGAAATTCGATTTTTCTTGTGGTGAAGAGAGAGAGAGAGAGATGGTTTCAGAAATTTTAAGTGTGGGAGAGTGGAGAAGTGGGTTCGATCGAGTTATGGGGAAGAGGGAGTGTTTGAGATGTGTGGTTGAGATTAAAAGTGAAATAAAGAGGGGACAAGAAGCTAGGGTTTCTCTGATCAAATTAGGGTAGTGGGGGACCAAAATCAGCTTGTGGGACCCACTCCCTTGACCAAGAAAACGGTTATGAATTTGAAATTCAAAAACTTACCTCGGTCGAGTTGTAGGAACTCGATCGAGTTGCCCTGTTTCTAGCTCGATCGAGCTATCGGTCGAGCTGGCTCCTTTGACACCTAAACTTAACTTATTGAAAGGTTAAAACATAAAATAGATAGAAATTGCATAAATAGAATATGTACAAGGATAAACATGGGACTTCCTCCCAAGTGAGCTTGTTTAAGGTCCCATAGCTTGACCTTTACCTTCTTAGGCATTGGTTGAGCTAGTCCCACCATCAAGGGTGATAGTGAGGACTTGAGACAGAAGCTCCTTTAGCTTGGTTGGGTCCCTGGATTGTTCTGAAGTCACCAAGGCTTTGGCTCTAGAGAATGGCCTTGATCTCCCCTTGTACCTTATCTTGTACTCAATCTTCCCATTTTCAAACTTGGTGGGGAACAAAGTCATTGTGAGCTGAGATGGCTTGATGAAGGGGCCTGAGCTGGTGGATCTTTTCTTTTATCCCCTGGTCTTGCCTTAGAGGCTACATCCTCCCCTTCTTTTAGAGCCCTTCCTAGTGGCTCATCAAACAAAGCTTGAAGGCTCTCTTCATCAAGCACACAAGGGGCTTGAACAAGTCGATCAGCTCGTGGTCTATCAGAACGTGGTTTCTCAACTCTAGCCCTCTCAAGACGTGGCTTCTCAATCCTTGGCTCTCTCTCTCAAAATATTTATATTTATATATATTAATTTTTTTTTTTTTTTTTTTTTGAAATTAAACAACTTTTATTGAAATAAGCAAGTGCAAATACAAAGCAAATAATCCAGGATCTAAGATTCAAGAAGCAAGAGCTTCAAGAACACAAAGATTGGATTAGGGTTGCTAAAAAGTAAAGACAATAAATTAAAGAGAAACTAAAACAAAAATAAAGTAAAGCTTGGTTGTTTTTTCGTGGCTTTTAGCCCTTAAATACAAAGAGGATTAGGTTTAGGGTCAAAGGAAAGTCAAGGGGGAAGCAACATTTTTCGGGTTTGACTGTTGACTTCTCAGCTCGATCGAGGAGACGCTCGAGCTGGTCTTCAAGATGGCTTCTCCCTTCTTCCTTTGCGTATCCAGTTGAGCTGCGTCCATGTGCCAAGTCCCTCCATGCTCCTCATGTCCCATATGCTCCAGAATGCTCCAAAAGACCTATTTCAAAGGACCAAACATGCATATGTATGCAAATGCAACCTAAAACTAACATGAATGCATAAGAAGAGAAAAGGAACAAGATATGATGCAAATGGAAGCTAAAACTATGCAAAAGATGCATAAAAGATGTGCTAAAACTATGTAAAATGCAAGTACATCAACACCCCCAAACTTGAACTTTGCTTGCCCTCAAGCAAACAAATAGAACAAGAAGGATGAGGTTTGAAAACAGCTGATTCAACATTAAAAACATGTCCTCAAAAGCGATTTGCTAAATGTCCAACTTAGAGATTCTAGAATGCAACAAGGTGAGAGATATTCATTAAGATTTAACCATGCTTATCAACATCAATCCCACTTCACAGTCACTCAAACAATGCATTCAAATCAGCAAATCCCTTTAACATTCATTAAGCAAAAACAGTGAACCAAAAACATGCAAGATCAATCAACTCATTTGGTTTCAAGGGTTTATGGGTTAAGAGACAAAGAGGGTCTCTTTTGTATGGTGGTTTAGTAACAGGGATCTCTCAAGAAAGTGGCTTTGCTTTGGCAGAAGGCTAAGTGTTAGAACCAAAGATGATGCAAGAACAGCAGCTCGAGCCGTCTAATCCTAACTCGATCGAGTTCAACACTTAGAGCTTTTTAGAACAAAATCCTAACTACCCTTTTTGGCATTTCGCCTTTGAAACTGAGGAGCTTTGCTCACTTTTCTTTTAAGAACTTCCTAGGGAGAGGCTTCTTGAGGTAACATCTAGCGGTTTGGGATTTTCTAAACACTTAGGGAACTTTTCTTTCCTTTTTGACACTTGAGGCTTTGCCTTCTTTTCATTCTACTTAGAACCCTTTTTACTTCCTTTTTTAACTTCCCAAACCTTTACTAGACCCTTTTTAACACTGCCAACTCCCTGGACTTAACTAAACTCTTTTTCCTTTGGGTTTTTCCCAACTTTTACCACTTTTCTGGTTTTTACACCCAACTCGATCGAGCTCGAGTTGGCACCCCCAAACTTAGCCTGAAAACAATCCCAAGAGAACTAGACAACTAGAACTACTGCCCCTGCCGGTTTAAACACAACACCTTATGCTAAGCAAAGCCAAGAAAGGTTCTCACATTCGCACAAGAGATAAATGGGGTTTGAAATGAAAAGGCTTAGGTTTAAGGTGTGGTAACTGTCTCAAAGGATAGAGATCAGCTATCTGGACAAGCAAGAGGGATATGAAAGTGATAAAGAATGTCCAGATATGTATGTGGTAGCCATGAGTTGAAATCAAATGCAAGCATTGGTAATTAAAGATCAAGTTATGGTTCAAATAGATAGGGAAATGCATCAAATCACAGCAATGGTTGAATGAGATGTGCATGCAGTGATATGATCAAGATAAACATGGTTCTTGCTGCTCAATCAATCTCACCCTAATGCACAAAAGAATCTAAAAACAGGGCACTCAAGAAATCGCAAAAGATGGACAAGTTTTCAAAGTCAAATCAACAATGCAAGTGAAAAATGCAATCCTAAACAAGTCTAACAAATATGAATGCAAAAAGATGAAAATATTTTTGGATTTTTTGAAAATTTTATGATTTTTTTGGTTTTTCTATGCAAAAGATGATGAAAAACTAAGAACAAAGAAAACAAGGTTAAATCATCTCTTGAACCCTCCCCCAAACTTAAATCACACAGTCCCTTGTGTGAGAAAAATTTAGTGAAAGATTCAAGAGGGCAAAACCAAGAAAAATAAAAACAAATGCAAGAAAATATGAAATGGTATATACAAGGGTTGGTGTTTGGATACCTCAGTGCCCCCCAAAGAACTGGGAGGCTAGGTCGTGGTCTGGAGATGGTAGACGGCCATCAGGGCACTCCACTCACTGGGTTCGTGCACTCGATCGAGCTTGCTCTCCTCTTCCTCTTCCTCAAAGTGTGTGGCTTCCTTGGCCTTGGTGGAGCATTGCTAGCTCGTACTGTCCATAGGGGTTCCATCTCTCCGGGGAGGTCCTGGTAAGGGTGGATCGTATTCAAATCCCGGATCCTCGAACTGGGCTCCTCAAGGCCAACTCGACCGTCAGCTCGATCGAGTTGAGTTTCCTCTGTTTGGACTCGATCGAGTCCGGTGGTCGAGTTGGAGCGTCTGGCCTTAGAAGTCTTCCTCCTTCTCTGCGTGTTGTCTCTCCCTTCCCTTGGCTCGAAAGAAGAGGCTCTGTGAGGCTCTTGGGCAGGGAGCCTCCTTGGAGTGGTGAGAAGGATCTACTCCTAAGGAATGTGGAACTCATGGGGCCTTCTTCTTCTTGCTTGAAGAACCAGAAACCTTCTTCTCCAAACTTTTGATCTTGCTCACCATCTTGTCCATGGACTTTTGCATCTTTTCATGGCCTTCCCTTGCCATTTGTTGAACTTTTGGAGAAGTCCAATCCTCTTGTGGGCAGCCACAACAGAGGGGTTCATCCTTGGAGCCTCATACTCCTCAAATAATAGCACTCAGGCTCACCCAAATCCGCACTTTCCTGGACCTGATCTTCAGCTCGATCCTCAGCTCGATCCTCAGCTCGACTCAGCTCGATCGAGCTCAGGCTCCTCTTCTCGCAAATCATCCTCATGCCCAACTAATGTGTACACAGGGGGTCTGAAGTCAATGTTCTCACCCCTTACTACTGTGGTGAGCTCTGGGTTGGGCAGGAGAAACTTGGAGGGTCCAACCAATGGATGTGTGAACTTGAATTGGAACCTCCCATCCAACTCCTTGTGCTCAATGAGAAGGTTGGTCTTGCAAAACTTGATGTCCATCCAACCTGGTTCAGTGGCTCTCTATCAGTTGGGTTCACTCCAGCAGCACACAAGATAGGTGTGATGAGCCCTCCAACACTTAGGCGCCTTCCTTTGATGTCTAGTGTTGTAGGCGTGATCTTGTAGGTAAGGAGTGGTCAAGGAAAGGCATCAAGTTCCCTGTGTCAGATCTATCTCCCCTTGATCCTCTTGCCATCGCTTGTGCGTGAGAGAATGGGCTTGATTCCCATGTCAAGAAACTTGAGTTCCCCCTCGTTGATGGTCCCGGTCGCCTTCCTTGCAAAGAAGGTGTTGGCAAGTGCCTTGTGCACATACCTCAAGCACTGGGCTCCTGATCTGAGCTGCCTTGGACCTTGAGGAAGAGTACACTCCATCAGCGATTGTAGCCCAAACCCTTTGGAGTTCCTTTTCCTTGAAGTTCCACTTGGTACCCTTCTCCATAGTTGAACCCAAACAAGATTTCCAGCTGCCTAAAGGTCACCATTCTCTTCTCTCCCTTAGCCAAGAACGTGATCCATCCCAATCCTTGGTCCAAATCAGCTCTATCTTCCTCTTCATACATGTGGTACCTCATTGAAGCTAAGAACTCGCAAGTGAGCTCCTTGTAGGATTCCATGTGATAAGAGAAAAGCTTGGCCAAGTGCATGTTCTTGAGAAAGCTCCACATCCTCAAAGATTCCAAGGGCCTTCATTGTGTCAACATGTGGGTACTTGGTCTCCATGAAGTCCATGGAGAAGAGAGCATTGTAATGCTCTTGGTACATAGGGAGTTCTTCTCCTCCTCTTGCGGCTGCTCTTGTGGCTCAACTCCTCCATAGGTTCATCTTGGTTACTCTTGCTCACTTCTTCAACCAACTGATTCACCTCTTCTCCTTCCTCTTCACTCTCAGTCTCATCACTTCCTTCTTCACTTGGAGAGCCATTTCCCTCCTCTTGAACAAGGTTCACTCCAATCTCAAACTCCCCTTGCTCACTCTCACTACTAATGGGGTCATTCCTCTTCTTGGTCCTCCTCTCCTCCCTCAATCTCTCACTCTCAGATTCTTCCTCAGAGTAGACATATCCCTCTGCATCAGACTCTTCCATCCTTTGATCATCCTCTCCAAATCGGCTTGCATCTTAAGCCTTCTTTCCCTTGCATTGCTTGATTCACCCTCAACCATCTCCTTTGTGAAGCACGACTTCCCTCACTGTTTGTCATCTTGTTATACTGTTTCTTCACTAAAGTACCTGAAATGCATCAAAGATTACAAAGAATTAGAGTTGTAATGATCGGTTTGGTCAACTCGACACTCAGCTCGATCGAGTCAAAAAACTCGAGTGACAAACTCGATCGAGCTAGGTGAAAACAGAGTATAACCGAACCTAATTCAAGTATTAAGAGCTGGAAAGGATGCTAATCAATCAAATTGAACCAAGAACAACTAGTAAATGGAACAATGAGCAATTCTAGTGAAGACTAAGCATCTTTAACCAATACCAAACTCAAATTCAATTTTTCAAGCACATGCAACAAGTTCTAATGATAAAACAGAGGTGAGGTGAGGCAAATTCACAGTGGTATAAACAGGAGATTGAAATGAGAGCAATTACTCAAGAATAAACCCACAAGGGGCACATGCAATCAAAAATCAAAGAGAAACAAGAATAATAGAAATCGAGATGGAGGAATCAAGGGTTCTAGGGTTCATACCTTGCTTGAATGATGAATTGAAGAACAGTAACAAGAACCCAAACAAACAAGTGAAGAACAAGGAAATCGCAAAAACTTAAGAGAGAGAGATTGAAATTCGATTTTCTTGTGGTGAGAGAGAGAGAGAGATGGTTTCAGAAATTTTAAGGTGTGGGGAGTGGAGAAGTGGGTTCGATCGAGTTATGGGGAAGAGGGAGTGTTTGAGATGTGTGGTTGAGATTAAAAGTGAAATAAAGAGGGGACAAGAAGCTAGGGTTTCTCTGATCAATTAGGGTAGTGGGGGACCAAAATCAGCTTGTGGGACCCACTCCCTTGACCAAGAAAACGGTTATGAATTTGAAATTCAAAAACTTACCTCGGTCGAGTTGTGGAACTCGATCGAGTTGCCCTGTTTCTAGCTCGATCGAGCTATCGGTCGAGCTGGCTCCTTGTCACCTAAACTTAACTTATTGAAAGGTTAAAGACATAAAATAGATAGAAATTGCATAAATAGAATATGTACAAGGATAAACATGGGACTTCCTCCCAAGTGAGCTTGTTTAAGGTCCCATAGCTTGACCTTTACCTTCTTAGGCATTGGTTGAGCTAGTCCCACCATCAAGGGTGATAGTGAGGACTTGAGACAGAAGCTCCTTTAGCTTGGATGGGTCCCTGGATTGTTCTGAAGTCACCAAGGCTTTGGCTCTAGAGAATGGCCTTGATCTCCCCTTGTACCTTATCTTGTACTCAATCTTCCCATTTTCAAACTTGGTGGGGAACAAAGTCATTGTGAGCTGAGATGGCTTGGATGAAGGGGCCTGAGCTGGTGGATCTTTTCTTTTATCCCCTGGTCTTGCCTTAGAGGCTACATCCTCCCCTTCTTTTAGAGCCCTTCCTAGTGGCTCATCAAACAAAGCTTGAAGGCTTTCTCTTCATCAAGCACACAAGGGGCTTGAACAAGTCGATCAGCTCGTGGTCTATCAGAACGTGGTTTCTCAACTCTAGCCCTCTCAAGACGTGGCTTCTCAATCCTTGGCTCTCTTTCTCAAAATATTTATATTTATATATATTAATTTTTTTTTTTTTTTTTTTTTTTGAAATTAAACAACTTTTATTGAAATAAGCAAGTGCAAATACAAAGCAAATAATCGAGGATCTAAGATTCAAGAAGCAAGAGCTTCAAGAACACAAAGATTGGATTAGGGTTGCTAAAAAGTAAAGACAATAAATTAAAGAGAAACTAAAACAAAAATAAAGTAAAGCTTGGTTGTTTTTTCGTGGCTTTTAGCCCTTAAATACAAAGAGGATTAGGTTTAGGGTCAAAGGAAAGTCAAGGGGGAAGCAACATTTTTCGGGTTTGACTGTTGACTTCTCAGCTCGATCGAGGAGACGCTCGAGCTGGTCTTCAAGATGGCTTCTCCCTTCTTCCTTTGCGTATCCAGTTGAGCTGCGTCCATGTGCCAAGTCCCTCCATGCTCCTCATGTCCCATATTCTCCAGAATGCTCCAAAAGACCTATTTCAAAGGACCAAACATGCATATGTATGCAAATGCAACCTAAAACTAACATGAATGCATAAGAAGAGAAAAAGAACAAGATATGATGCAAATGGAAGCTAAAACTATGCAAAAGATGCATAAAAGATGTGCTAAAACTATGTAAAATGCAAGTACATCAACACCCCCAAACTTGAACTTTGCTTGCCCTCAAGCAAACAAATAGAACAAGAAGGGATGAGGTTTGAAAACAGCTGATCAACATTAAAAACATGTCCTCAAAAGCGATTTGCTAAATGTCCAACTTAGAGATTCTAGAATGCAACAAGGTGAGAGATATTCATTAAGATTTAACCATGCTTATCAACATCAATCCCACTTCACAGTCACTCAAACAATGCATTCAAATCAGCAAATCCCTTTAACATTCATTAAGCAAAAAAGTGAACCAAAAACATGCAAGATCAATCAACTCATTTGGTTTCAAGGGTTTATGGGTTAAGAGACAAAAGAGGGTCTCTTTTGTATGGTGGTTTAGTAACAGGGATCTCTCAAGAAAGTGGCTTTGCTTTGGCAGAAGGCTAAGTGTTAGAACCAAAGATGATGCAAGAACAGCAGCTCGAGCCGTCTAATCCTAACTCGATCGAGTTCAACACTTAGAGCTTTTTAGAACAAAATCCTAACTACCCTTTTTGGCATTTCGCCTTTGAAACTGAGGAGCTTTGCTCACTTTTCTTTTAAGAACTTCCTAGGGAGAGGCTTCTTGAGGTAACATCTAGCGGTTTGGGATTTTCTAAACACTTAGGGAACTTTTCTTTCTTTTTGACACTTGAGGCTTTGCCTTCTTTTCATTCTACTTAGAACCCTTTTTACTTCCTTTTTTAACTTCCCAAACCTTTACTAGACCCTTTTTTAACACTGCCAACTCCCTGGACTTAACTAAACTCTTTTTCCTTTGGTTTTTCCCAATTTTTACCACTTTTCTGGTTTTTACACCCAACTCGATCGAGCTCGAGTTGGCACCCCCAAACTTAGCCTGAAAACAATCCCAAGAGAACTAGACAACTAGAACTACTGCCCCTGCCGGTTTAAACACAACACCTTATGCTAAGCAAAGCCAAGAAAGGTTCTCACATTCGCACAAGAGATAATATGGGGTTTGAAATGAAAAGGCTTAGGTTCAAGGTGTGGTAACTGTCTCAAGGATAGAGATCAGCTATCTGGACAAGCAAGAGGGATATGAAAAGTGAAAAGAATGTCCAGATATGTATGTGGTAGCCATGAGTTGAAATCAAATGCAAGCATTGGTAATTAAAGATCAAGTTATGGTTCATATAAATAGGGAAATGCATCAAATCACAGCAATGGTTGAATGAGATGTGCATGCAGTGATATGATCAAGATAAACATGGTTCTTGTTGCTCAATCAATCTCACCCTAATGCACAAAAGAATCTAAAAACAGGGCACTCAAGAAATCGCAAATGATGGACAAGTTTTCAAAGTCAAATCAACAATGCAAGTGAAAAATGCAATCCTAAACAATCTAACAAATATGAATGCAAAAAGATGAAAATATTTTTGGATTTTTTTGAAAATTTTATGATTTTTTTGGTTTTTCTATGCAAAAGATGAATGAAAAACTAAGAACAAAGAAAAACAAGGTTAAATCATCTCTTGAACCCTCCCCCAAACTTAAATCACACAGTCCCTTGTGTGAGAAAAATTTAGTGAAAGATTCAAGAGGCAAAAACCAAGAAAAATAAAAACAAATGCAAGAAAAATGAAATGGTATATACAAGGGTTGGTGTTTGGATACCTTAGTGCCCCCCAAAGAACTGGGAGGCAAGGTCGTGGTCTGGAGATGGTAGACGGCCATCAGGGGCACTCCACTCCACTAGTTCTGCAGCTCGATCGAGCTTGCTCTTCCTCTTCTTCTTCCTCAAAGTGTGTGTGGCTTCCTTGGCCTTGGTGGAGCATTGGCTAGCTCGTACTGTCCATAGGGGTTCCATCTACTCCGGGGAGGCTCCTGGTAAGGCATGGATCGTATTCAAATCCCGGATCCTCGAACTGGGCTCCTCAAGGCCAACTCGACCGTCAGCTCGATCGAGTTGAGTTTCCTCTGATGGACTCGATCGAGTCCAGTGGTCGAGTTGGAGCGTCTGGACTTAGAAGTCTTCCTCCTTCTCTGCGTGTTGTCTCCTCCCTCTCTTGGCTCGAAAGAAGAGGCTCTGTGAGGTTCTTGGGCAGGGAGCCTCCTTGGAGTGGTGAGAAGGGATCTACTCCTAAGGAATGTGGAACTCATGGGGCCTTCTTCTTCTTGCTTGATGAACCAGAAACCTTCTTCTCCAAACTTTTGATCTTGCTCACCATCTTGTCCATGGACTTTTGCATCTTTTCATGGCTTCCCTTGCCATTTGTTGAACTTTTGGAGAAGTCCAATCCTCTTGTGGGCAGCCACAACAGAGGGGTTCATCCTTGGAGCCTCATACTCCTCAAATAATAGCGCTCAGGCTCTCCCAAATCCGCACTTTCCTGGGACTCGAGCTCGATCCTCAGCTCGAGACTCAGCTCGATCGAGCTCAGGCTCCTCTTCTCGCAAATCATCCTCATGCCCAACTAATGTGTACACAGGGGGTCTGAAGTCAATGTTCTCACCCCTTACTACTGTGGTGAGCTCTGGGTTAGGCAGGAGAAACTTGGAGGGTCCAACCAATGGATGTGTGAACTTGAATTGGAACCTCCCATCCAACTCCTTGTGCTCAATGAGAAGGTTGGTCTTGCAAAACTTGATGTCCATCCAACCTGGTTCAGTGGCTCTTCTATCAGTTGGGTTCACTCCAGCAGCACACAAGATAGGTGTGATGAGCCCTCCAATACTTAGGCGCCTTCCTTGTTGATGTCTAGTGTTGTAGGCCGTGATCTTGTAGGTAAGGAGGTGGTCAAGGAAAGGCATCAAGTTCCCTGTGTCAGATCTATCTCCCCTTATCCTCTTGCCATCGCTTGTGCGTGAGAGAATGGGCTTGATTCCCATGTCAAGAAACTTGAGTTCCCCCTCGTTGATGGTCCCGGTCGCCTTCCTTGCAAAGAAGGTGTTGGCAAGTGCCTTGTGCACATACCTCAAGACTGGGCTCCTGATCTGAGCTGCCTTGGACCTTGAGGAAGAGTACACTCCATCAGCGATTGTAGCCCAAACCCTTTGGAGTTCCTTTTCCTTGAAGTTCCACTTGGTACCCTCTCCATAGTTGAACCCAAACAAGATTTCCAGCTGCCTAAAGGTCACCATTCTCTTCTCTCCCTTAGCCAAGAACGTGATCCATCCCAATCCTTGGTCCAAATCAGCTCTATCTTCCTCTTCATACATGTGGTACCTCATTGAAGCTAAGAACTCGCAAGTGAGCTCCTTGTAGGATTCCATGTGATAAGAGAAAAGCTTGGCCAAGTGCATGTTCTTGAGAACTAGCTCCACATCTTCAAAGATTCCAAGGGCCTTCATTGTGTCAACATGTGGGTACTTGGTATCCATGAAGTCCATGGAGAAGAGGGCATTGTAATGCTCTTGGTACATAGGGAGTTCTTCCTCCTCCTCTTCCTCTTGTGGCTCAACTTCCTCCATAGGTTCATCTTGGTTACTTTCTTGCTCACTTTCTTCAACCAACTGATTCACCTCTTCTCCTTCCTCTTCACTCTCAGTCTCATCACTTCCTTCTTCACTTGGAGAGCCATTACCCTCCTCTTGAACAAGGTTCACTCCAATCTCAAACTCCCCTTGCTCACTCTCACTACTAATGGGGTCATTCCTCTTCTTGGTCCTCCTCTCCTCCCTCAATCTCTCACTCTCAGATTCTTCCTCAGAGTACACATATCCCTCTGCATCAGACTCTTCCATTCTTTGAGTCATCCTCTCCAAATCGGCTTGCAT